ATGTTGTAGGTGGTAAAATCTTCGTTCTATGCCAATGGTGGTGGTATCAATAGAAAAAGGAGAATGTTTTAGAGAAGACATTCTTTGAGGGGTACAGATCCCGCACAAAAAGCTTTAATTTAAAAAGCATATTCATGAATGACAAAGTTTTTTCCCACTCAGCGAAGCCATTGTTCACCTTGTTAAAAAGAGGTTTTTAAAGATAGAAAGTTCATAGAATCACTCCCATGCAACCTATATATTATTCCAATAGAGTGCTTGTGTTTTGCCATTAAAACACACACACACACACACACACACACACACACACACACACACACACACACACGTGTGTGTGTGTATGTGCGTGCATATATATATATATGTGTGTGTGTATATGTATATATATATAGGTGTGTATATATAAAGTGAGGGAAACAAATATTCGTAAAAATATTCAATAAATGAATAAATATACTATTCATATAATTAACTCTACACAGATGCATATTTAATAGAAATGGATCCCATTTATTCATTTTTATGGGTAAAAAGTATTTTTACAATACAAAAAAGAATATATAATCATCATTTAATACATTGTAGAATAGCCATTATTCAATTCTACAGAAACCAGCCTCTTCTAGTTCTTAATTAATGATTTACAAATTTTAGTTGGTATTTTGTTCCATTCTTCTTTGTATATAGTTTTTAGATGTGATATGTTTGTTTGAGCTCTTGATTGGATTCGAATTTTCAAATAACGCCAAAGGTTCTTGACTGGGTTTAAATCTGGGGACTGACTTTGCCATTTCAGGATATTTACATTATTTTCCACTAGTCATTTTTTTTGTAGATTTTGCAGTGTGTTTAGGATCATTATATTTCTGGAAGATCCAATCAGGACAAAGTTCAAGATTTTCAATCGAAATCATTAAATTTGCTCCCAAAATATTTTGATATGCTGCGGAATTCATTCTATTATCTATTAATGATATGTTGCCAGTACCTTTAGCAGAAAAACATCCTCAATCATGATGCAGCCACCACCACCAAATTTCACTGTTGGAACTGCGTTCTTTTGTTCGAAGGCAACGCCAAACAACTCAATTTTCGATTCATCTGTCCATAATAATCTTTCCCAATACTATTTTTCCTTATCCTTATGTTCACGAACGAATTTCAACCTGTCATCTCTGTGTCTTTTCAAAGGCAGTGAAGTTGTCTGAGGGGAGCATGACTATAGATTGTTCCTTTATCTTCCAGGCATTTATTAGTACGGCGAACTACTGTTTGGGCAACGTTGGCCAAAGTGTGCAGTGGTATTGCTGCACATGCATTTTCAATTTCCTGTCTAAGGGCCGCTAATGTAGACAGCAGTACACAACATTCTTTAGGGTGCTCCATAGGGAAAAGTTTAAAAATTAGGAAAGACAAATTTTTCCTTTCTTGAAGTGTGTATACATTTATTTGGTGAACTCTGTACACACACACACACACACACACACACACACACACACACACACACACACATATATATATATATAAAGGTCACCAAATTGAGCATCTATTGTGACTGTAGAATCCAAAAGTAACTTCTATTAATTTTGTGTTGTCTGTATAAATTTAGTATTACAATATTTATAAAAATTGTTCCTTTTCTGAAGTGTGTGTACATTTTTTGGTGATTTTTTTGTTTATATATAAAGAGTGTGGTGGGTATAGAATCAACACTGAATGGTGACTGGATGTTTCACACCTTAACTAATCATCGGATGTGATGATTGTGTAAGGTGTAAACCTATTAGTCACCCCGCAGTATTGATTTTCTTGTTCCCTCTTTATTTACACTCGCTTTATCTAAACACACTTCACCCATAAACATCACAAACCTTAGACAATATAAACATACGATGTCTGTCTGAAAATTAAGAGGACTGCTGTCACAAACACTTTATTTTAATTCCAAACAACAAACTACGTTGTTTCCCTTTCAACGTAAACCACCTCGAGGTTAATTCCCTTTTCCATCCTGCTCTGCTATGTTTCCATGCATTGCTGGAAGGATTATTCTTGGATGTGTCTTAGCTACGTCGTTACGACCCTCTTAATGGCTTCCACGCCTTCAAAATGCCCCCCCCTCCCGATGACCCCCTTGAGCTTTAGTAAAAGAAAAAATTAACACGGAGTAAGATCAGGTGAACAGGAAGGTCATTCCAGTACAGCGATGTTCTTTCGGTCAGGAACTGTCGGATGCTCAGGACGTTGTGACCATATATAATGTCGTCGTGAAACAGCCGCAATTTGTCCTATCACAACTTTCGTCTCTTCTCGCAAAACAAACGCCGTAGGCTCTCTCTATAGACTTGTTGATTGATCGTCTGGTCCCTCGCTAAGATCTCACTGTGGACAATGACCATAGCCTACACAACACATTCAGTCCCGTTACTTTTCAGACAAACTTCGTATATATATATATATATATATATATATATATATATATATATATATATATATATATTTCTTATTACGTAAGCGTTATGTTTTAGTGTATACATATGTTTGAGTAGACACCTCATTGTTTTAAATAATGTCAACTATATCCACCGACCTCTGTATTCGAAAGTATTAAGAAAGATAATGCGCACACCGTACGGATGTTTGAACTCTACAGAAGGGCAAGTTTCTTTATTTAAACTCTCGAATATGCAAGTAATATAATCTCTTAACTGAATGGTGCGTCCATCCAAACATGAGTATCCACTAAAATAAGAGAACAAATAAAAGAACATGAATTAAGAAGACAAAGCATAACGATTGACGTTGGATTTAAATTTTTGAAGATCGAAGTTGACTGGGAAGCAAGAAGCCGGAAAAGAGTTCCACAAATGAAAAGTGCAAGAGAAGAAACTCTTACTATAGAGCTTACAGTTGCATCCAGCCATGCAATCTGTAAAAAATGAGGCCGACTGCGCTTAAATTAATAAAGTCTAGGTACCATTGTGGAAGGTTCATCAGAACGATTTATCATGAAAGTATTTATGGAAAAAGCACAGGGCAGGGGCAGCTACATTACAGCGGTTGGAAAGGGACTGAAGCCGAGATGCCAGGTCAGGACCAAAGTAATATCTGCTTAATCCATTAATACTTAGCGTCATAAAATAGGACAGGCAAGCATAAATTGGTTATAGGTATAATTCTACAATTAATACCGGGTTTTTATCTTTATATTATTTATAATTAATATTGGTGTTTTATTTTCACTTAAAATTAAAACCTGATTTTACGAAGAAGATTAATAGATTAATATGAATTATCAAAGATAAGCAACTTGGCAACGCAGGATTTTCATTAATCAGAAAGAAGAAATTTCTTATCATAGATCAGCTGAGGAAAAATGTTATTGTGTAAAAAGTGCGATAATTCTGTTTAGTAGGAAAACATGATGGATTCATATCTTTCCCAAGGAACATTTTAACTTTTTAATTATTTCATCCCAAGAATGGCAAAAGAAACCCCACTAGGACGCAAAGGGGTTACTGAGTGTTAGAGAATATGAAGAAAGCTACTATTAAGAAGAGAGGGCAAAAAAAAAAAAACAAGAATTAAGAAGACAGAACATAACGATTGACGCGGCATATAAATTTTTGAAAGGGTTTTGAAAGTTGACTAGGAAGCCAGAAGCTAGAAGAGGGTTTCACAAACAAGAACAGTGATAGAAGAAACTGTTAGCATAGAACTTGCGGTCTAGAATTCATTAATAATAAAACGAATTTCTACGGTAAAAAATCCCCTGAATCTGAAGGCTAGGGTTAATTTTCGAATTGATTATCCCTGGTATATACAAAGAATATATACTACACGATTTTGTCTAGTATTGTCATAACCAAATTCTTTTGTTTTTGTTTGGTTCAGGTTAATTTGGTTTGCTGCATATCAACATCTCAATGGGTTATTTAATGCCGTCAAGATTGTTATGACAGATTTTTATGACTAGAATATGTAATCTTATTTTGCAGTTTGCAGATCAGGTTTCACTGATAGATTTTTGTAAAGAGGGTTTTTGTCGATAGCTAAATGTTTTGATAGTATTATTTTTTTCAATACAGTATTTTTAATGTATTGCTGGTAATATTTTTTCAAAAAATTTATTGCAGGTATTTTTACTATAAAAATCAATTATTTTTGTTTTGATACCAGTTTGAGTGTTAACGATTTGCTCATAGCTGGGACCCTAACAGGTGCTACCACCCCGAATCAGGAAGGGCCTGGGAACAACAGCAATTAAAAGGTGGTTCTACGCTCCTCTAAACTTTCAAGATTCCGATCAGAGGGCCTGCTGCCGGATGGAGTTTATCGTCATACCCAGGACACCAAATTTACTATTTTTTCTTTTGACAGCGAAAAAAAACCCTTTGAGTGAACGTGTAGATACTTTTGCCTTCGACTGAAATATTTGCATGAAAGAAACGACAATAAGGCAATGTTCAGCCTTCAGTCTGTCAGCATTTCCTCTTGAGAACTGGAGACGTGAAATTTCCAAGCAAAATATTTTTCTTGGCGGAGAAGCCAACCAAATTCGTGTTCGTCGAACGCCATCTTTGTCGTTGCATTTGACGTAATTTCCTCAAGTTTTCAATAGAATGTCATTGTGGATCAACTAGTTTCCATCTGTCCATTCTTAGGAAATGGTATATGTTATTTTAGGTATTTTTTCGTATTCTTGTTATGTCAGCTGATGTTGACCTCGCGTTTCCCTTGACAATTTCCTGGTATTTTAGAGAGTAAATTACACTTGTTTTCACTTGCACAAAAAAGATATTTAGCGAAAATGTTGAACGCACGCAGACGCGTGGTTGCACAGACTCAAACATGTTTTTCTATAAGGCTATGGGTTGCGACAGAAACGTTTGCATTTGGCACACTATAGATAGATCGATAGATAGATAGATTGATAGATAGATAGATAATTAACAGAATTAGATAATGAACAGAATTAGATAGATAGATAGATAATGAAC